ATGGTGATGTTTAAAGATGCAAGACACCTTTGATGGCAAGAGGTGATAGACAGATTCAAGGCAAAGATTACAAGCATACAGTTAGATCGGTTGCCAAGTTGACAACTGTGAGGCTAGTCTTGCTATTGCTGCCGGTTTAAATTGGGATGTTCAACAACTTGATATCAATAACGCGTTTTTACATGGCTTCATAGATGAGGATATATAAATGCAACGTCCTTTGGGTTACAATAAGGTACAACCAGGTTAAGTGTGCAAGCTTAAACGTTTCCTTTATGGGCTCAAGCAGGCCTCGAGGCAATGGAATGTAAAACTTTGCAAATTTTTTGTGGATTTTGGATTTACTCAATCACACCAAGATTATTCAATTTTTTTTTCATAGCAATGGTTGCAAGTATACTGTTATAGTAGCCTATGTTGATGATCTACTAGTTGTTCGGAATGATCCTAATTTTATTTCTGGTGTGAAGCAAGCTCTTCATTATGCTTTTACAATAGAAGATCTTGGGAAAATCAAGTATTTTCTTGGGATTGAGGTGACAAGATCTAGTGCAAGAATTATGTTGAATCAAAGGAAGTATGTTTTGGATATGTTTATTGGTACCAAAATGGAGCATTGCAAAACAACACCTTTTTCTAGTAAAAAAAAGGTCTTGCTTTGGGTCAGCATAAAGGTGAATTGATGCAGGATCCTAAAGTATACAGAAGACTATTTGGAAGGCTCCTTTATGTCAATCTTACAAGACCAAATATCCTATATATTGTGTAGAAATTGTGTCAATTTTAAGTGCACCATGAGTTCCTGATCATTATCTTGCTGCCACTCATGTTTTGAGATATTTGAAAGGCACACTAAACTATGGTCTTTTCTATGCTGCAAACATTGATTTGAAGCTGTCAGCATATTGTGATGCTGATTGGGGCAATTTTTTTAGATAAAGGAAGATCTCTTACAAGATATTGTGTTTTCTTGGGAAAATCATTGATCTCATGGGAAACTAAAAAGCAGAAGGTTGTACCAAAAAAAACTACAGAAGCAGAATATCGCAACATGAGTCAAACAACAGATGAGGTCATCTGTTATTTGGGTTGTTGGACTGTTAGATGATTTATGTATACAGGCTCCTAAGCCTATCACTCTATTTTGTGATAATGTAGGAGCACAACACATTGCAGGTAATCCTTGTTTCATGGACAAACGAAGCATCTCAGGAGGAAGCACCACAAGTTAGATGTTCATTATGTTTGAGAAAACGTGCAGCTTGGGTTCATTAAGACTACTCAAGTCAAATTTACTCTTTAGTTGGCAGACATCATGTCCAAAACCTTTAGGCACTAATGAGAATCGATTCCTTTCTCAGCTGATTGGTCTTGTTTCTCAGCCTTGTGTTTAAGATTGGTCTGGGTTTTTCACCAAGTCAATCTTAAAGGGGGGTAATGAGCTAACCCAGCTCATATTTTGGATTGCAAACATGGCAATTATGTTAAGAATTTTGTTTTGCATAACGGAATTCAAGTAGTAATTTGCTAAGATATTTTGTAGATTTTGTTTAGAATCAACCTGTAATTGTAGAGTTATATTTATTAACCTTTATTTGGGCCAAGTCCATTATTCTATGCCCAGTGACCAAAAATTACAAAAATACCCCTCCATGATCCAGCCTATCATTAATGATAATAAAATCTGATTTTTGATTTTTCTCTAGATTTTCTCTCTTTTCTCTGATTCTCATTTCTTAGAGAAAACTGATTTTCTCCGGCTCATAATAATAGATTAGTAAACATGGAAAGTTTTCAACCTAATATGCATCATATCTATGTAAAATCTTAAAACTCATACAAATACCTAATGAGAAGAATGATAAAACAATTTATGTGTATATTTTATATTGAATGATATGATTAATTGGATGGGTGACAAGAATAATTGGTTGGAAGACATAGTCAATTGTCACGACAACTACAATTTTGATTTTGTAGTCGTGGGATGACATGTTTTAATATATATATATATATATATATATATATATATATATATATATATATATCTTTTGTATAAGCTTACTGTAATTTGTTGCTTAGGTGATATGTGTAAATGTTTGCAATATATATCGGCAACTATTTGAATACGATTAATTAGCCGGATGACATGGTTAATTATTGAATGATATGATCAATTATCAGAATGATATTGGCTAGCAATTGTGGGATTATATATATTTTTTGATATAATTTATCTACAACCTCTGTTTTTTATTATGTACAACAAAGAAATTTTTTTTATATCTCGTAAATAATATTCCTTTGTTGCAGATAATAAGAAACAAAGGTAGTGTTTTTTTTTTGTTAGGCAGGATGACATCATTTATTGGTTGAATGATATGATCAATTATTTGGTTGAATCCTTGGGGGGGGGGGGCGGGGGGGAAGAAGAGGTAAGGAAGTTGCATCACTAAATGTCTCTGGTTGAGTTCGGTTGAATCCTTGGGGGGGGGGGAAGAAGAGGTAAGGAAGTTGCATCACTAAATGTCTCTGGTTGAGTTCGGTCTCACAATCTTATGATTGTAGGTTGCAAACCTTCATATTAGACCAAGTCTTATTTGGTTAATTAAATATAATCTAAATAGAATCTTGCTAACAAGCGCCCCACAGCGTTGGATAAGGGATTAATATGTTATTTAAAATAGTATTAAGTTCGGAATGCATGATAAAATCAAGCGTCGACCGGTGTAATTAATGTTAATTTTACTATAATATTTTTACATTTAATTATCATATCTAATGTCACGGGGGTGCTCGTTAGCTTTTACCATCTTAATAAATCAAATACGACTATAACTAAGGGCTTGTTCTCATAGACTGAACTCAGCTGAACTGAAATGAACTGAACTGAATATTTTATAAGAGATGAAAATTAGGAGCTGAGTTGAACTAAACTGAACTGAAATGAAATGAAAATAAACGTATTAGAACATACCCTAATTTGACTCATATCTATCTTAATTAGTTTTTGAAATAAAATTAGAAACTCTGATTACTTTCTTTTCTAATAATAGTGTACTCCATTCTATGTATAGCATTAAAGTACAAGCCCATGCAAAATCAATCTTATAACAGTCAAGATATAAAGCAATTGGGAAGAAATGGCTAATTATTAGCTCAAAGTTAATTCATTAAATATGTGTTCAATCAAGTAAAGTACTATCCATTTCCAAAAAGATAGCTAAAGCTTGTCACATTGGACGATTACCCTGCAAAGTTGCCAATAATTTGGGAAAAAGAAAAAGTTTGATTAGCATAGCTATTCTACTTTGATAACACTGGCCCATTAAAATTTGGTGTCAATCAATATCATTGACGCCAAAAGTCCAAGACCTTATACTTTCCACATTCATAGATGAACTTAACGATTGAACATTATTGTTACTTACTGTCATAAAAATCTTGATATAACGTATTGATGTAATACTTCCTCCATTATTTTATCCTAATATGCATAGGAAACATGATAATTAAGCTGTTTATTTGATAAAAAATGAAAAAAATAATAATAAAAGAGACTCATGTGAGGAAAAGATAAGAGAATGTTGCAATAATGCCAATGTATATGAAGCTTCTAAGAACAAAAATGTTGCAATATTCAAAGAGAGAAATAAGTATTATTGTACTCCGTATTATATTATTGTATAAGTGAAGGAGATATATAAAATGATGTGTATAAAAAATTTCGAATATCTTTATCATATAAGTAAAGAGGAAGCTAAGGAGAAGTATCCACCTACTTAAAATCCAATTATATTGTGCTCTTATGATTTCTCAAACAATAAGTGGCGACTATAGTTCAAAATCATCCGTTCAAAACGATATGTTGTGATACTCTGTATTAATCTATTAACTATTATTAAAACAAAACGTTGCTGATATCAACCCTCAATCTATCTTACGTGTCATTTTCGATCACATTAAAATTTTTCCCTCCAATTCTATGTGTGATGTCATCAATTATTAATTTTTTTTTTAATTTACAATTTTGACTTCAATGCAAAAATTGTCTATATAAATTTCAATTAAGCAAGTTTTTCTCCTAAATTATAATTTTACATACCTAAATTGTTTGATATTTGATTGTGATTTCAAATTTTTACTTTCCTTAAATGTAAATTATTTGAATATCAATTTTAAACTTTATATGCAATGTAATACAACAAAATATAATATAAATTACAAGAAAGATTTACTCCAAAGGAGCAACGCACGAGGATAACCTAGTAAGCAAATAAGCATTAGTGAAAGAAAAATGCCAAATGTTCTCAAATTGCCACAATAAAAAGCAAAACTAATTAATGCAAACCATTGTGGTTGATAATCCTATATTATTTTTACACAAAATTCACAACAATAATCAAATATATCGATCAACTAGAAGTTGAATGAACTAAATTTAAAATTCACACATAGATCAAAGTTAGTGTATAAATCAACAAGAGGAAGTGACTCCAGTAATAAAGAAAACACCCATCAAACACTACTTTGGCTTAATTTTTTTGGTGTTTAAGCAGCCTCAAAGGATGGGGTGAGAATCAATCCCACGATCTTTTGATATCGAGAGGGAAACTCATACCACTTGAGTTATCTCTCACTCTCACTTTGGCTTAATGGATAAGCCTATATCACTAAACTTAATGAGTTATGTTCAATTTTTTTGTCTTTACAATTATTTTTTATTGGAAAAAAAAAAGAACAAAAAACTAGATTAAATAATTGAAATCATGTACTACATTGCATAATTAGAATACAAAAGGGTAAGAAATTAGATGTCACTAGCAAATTGAACAATTATGTTGACCTATATGCATTCTAAAGTCTATTCACATCGGATGCATAAAGAGCTAGTAATCAGCAACTATGATGAAAAACTAGATTAGCCAATAAATCTGACCTTGACACTTCATTTTTTAAATAAGAGATCTTGACATATTTAACTGACGAACAAGAGGAAATATAAGCAATGTCACATAATATAAAGGTTTACTAAACATATTATAAGTACAACAAATTACACACTAAAAATGGTTATCAATGGAATAAAGTTGATCAACAATACCCAAAACCACAGCACAAATATGCTTAAAACCATCTTCTCTAACCTTGAGCACCGTTGGATAATCCATATCGCGGTATCTTTTGAATGCATTGTGACAAGCATTCGGGTAATCAGAGGCCGCCATAACATGCATAGAAGCATAATCATAATTTTCCATGGACAAATCTTGGAGTGTAGACTTGAGAGAATCATTAGCATAAGTATACTTAGAAGCACATAATTTGTATACATTCTTCATATTAGTATCACTTGTACCACTACTTTTAGGCACTTGTGAATGCTGTGATGATAAATAAGCATAAGTATCCGATGCATTGGCAATTCCAATATTTACCATAATAGTTGCTAGCCCTTTGAGATCCGAATTCGAGCTCGAAGGGTTTGATTTCAAGGAAGAGATGCATAGATCAATGTATTGAGTGTTCTTACATGTTTTTTGGATAAAATCTTCATCTCCTTGAACTACTTTTATTGTGTTATTGATGAAGAGAAAAAGAATTAAAGATAAAATCTTAGAGTATTTACCCATTTGAGGTTTGTTAATTTTGTTGTGGAATGAAAATCAAAAGGCTAGATTTATGAGTAATTTTGGCTCATACAATTGATGTTCACTAAAAAATGTTATGTAGAACTAGTATTATATATAGGTGAACTATTTTGTTTGATTATACATTATTGATAGTAAGGCTAAATTTGGAGGTAGCCCACATGACAAATATATAAGTTCACGGGTCAATATGAATTCACAAATTTTATTAATTTCAAATTTCTAGAGTTCTCCCCACCAGCTTGTATACACACTACAGGATTATAATGGATTAAAGATTTAGTGAAGTGGGTGTGGAGTTGATAAAATATGAGGAGATTTCAAAGTTTGATAAATTAAATTATTCATTTTAATCTTCTTGCTCAATGTAATGGGATAACATTAACAATCTATCTTTCAATTTAAATTAATTAATATTGTATTATATCTTAGATTTTGTATCTAATGTTAAAATTAATTCATATATTGTTATTGTTATTGTTATTAATTGTTACTTGTATTTTCTTAAAAAAAATTAAAATTTGATTTTCTTTATATCCAAGAACTCATATGATGTGCTAACTCTACTCAATCACATATTGAATGTACATCACTTGACCAAGCACAAGAGCACATTGGAGTGTTTATATACCCAAAAAATGTGAGGAAAAGTAAATATTTCCACTCCAATCAAAAGTAAGCTTTGTAGTACTCCCCCCCCCCCATTTTTTTTATTTGCATCACTTGGTGATGTGTGAAGTTTTAGGAGAGTAATCTAATATTGTAAGTGGGTGAATAATTTATTATAGTAAAAGTTAGATGGGACCATGAAAGAGAAAAAATGTGAGGAAAAGTAAATATTTTTATTATATAAGTGGGGGACCATAAAAGAGAAAGAATGTGAGGAAAAGTAAATATTTTTATTATAGAAGTGGGGAGCATAGAAGAGAGAGAAATGATAAAATAATTTAAGTAGGGTTTAAAATAAGAAAGAGAAATGATAAAATATAGTATAAAATTACCAAATAAGGAAGTGATGCATTTTTTTTTAAAAAAAACACCCATAAAAAGAAAGTGATGCATTTAAAAACAAAAACGGGGGGAGTATTTAAAAACAAGGACAAGGGAGTCTTTCCTATCATCAATGTCACTTTGGTAACTACCCAAAGTTGATTTTATAAGGCCTATAAATATCCCATGTGATCATGAAATCAAAGAACAAATTAATTAAAAACCATAAACCCTATTCTCCATCTCTCTCACTCCCTCGATTTGTGTGCACCATTGAAATCCATCCATCTCCGACTAGTAGTCGCCAACTAGCAGCTACGACCCTCCTTTTCCTCCTCTTTCAGTTTTGGTTCGTTTGGTCTTATTTTAATTATTTTTTGTAAAAAAAAAAAAAAAACTCTCTCTCTCTCTGATTCAATTTATTACTGTGTATCATATTTTAAATATGTTTTTATTAATAATTTAAAGAATTTTTATAGAAGATTTTTTTTAGGAAAATTGGACGGTGCCTTATATTATTAATTTATCCATCAAAATATATGGGGAAACCTCACAAGGAAAGGAATATAGTTCTCCCATATCTATTCTACACCAAAAGGCACAATGCGGGCTAAATTATGGGCAACAGTATTGCCCTCCCGCTTTACATGACACCAAGAGATAGAATCGAAGCTAGAGCTAGTACATAAAATATCCTCAAGCAATAAATCGAGATAAGTGAAGTAAATAGAGCCCTTGCAAATCCTGTTGATAAGAACTTGGCAATCTGATTCAAGAATGACGTGGGAAAGGTTATACCGTTTAGCTAACCTCAATGCCATGATAGTGGCCTTACATTCAGCAATGGCAGGGGGCCAGAAGGCACGAAAACTCCTTGTGGCAGCAAAGATTACATCCCCCTGCCAGTCTCTAGCCACCACACCCAGTCCTACCCAGCCATCATCTCGAATTGAAGCATCACAATTGAGCTTTATGACCCCTGATGGTGGAGCAATCCACGTCTTGGAGCTGCTGGCCTTCTTTCTCCCACCAATACTGCCATAAATCTTTGTAGTGTAGGCTGTACAATCGTCTGCCAACCTCTTCACTCGGTCAATTAGTGCAGGATGGAATGAATCAGTCCCTTTGAAGACCTTATCATTCCTCCTATTCCACAGACACCACATCAAAATTGCACTTCTACACCTCAATTACGACTTGTGTTTGCCCCAAGACTCAAAGCAGTCAATGAAATTCATATCTTGCGGCCATAATCTAAGCTCTGAGCACCCACACTCTTCCCATAAATCCTTCACTGTATAGCAATAAAAATAAAAATAAAGCATGGCGCATTGTCTCTGAAACCCCCACACACCAAGGGCAGTCCTGTGTTTCAGTCATATGTCGATACTTTAGATAAGCTCTAATTGGAAGCGTACCTGTGCACATTCTCTAGAGAAAATGACGGATTTTGGGTGTAACTTCGAGCTTCCAGATTTCAAACCGAGACTTGTGAAAGTCGTCGAGGTTGCATGATATGCCTAACATATATGCGGTCTTCACTGAGTATCACCCGTCCATTGAAAATGCCCAACTCGCTATATCTGGAACACTTCTCGAACTTAGTGGCAAAGCAAGAATGCAGCGACTATCTTCATCATTGAAAGAGTTCAAGACTCGATCTTCATCCCATCCTCTTGTCTCGTGCTTGATCAAGTCACTTACTCTCTGCAGCTCGTCACAAGGAGGAGAAGAAATAAATCTACTTTCTTCACCAATAATCCAGGGATCCTGCCAGATATTCACTGAAGTGCCATCCTCGATTCTCCGTAAAAGCCCTTCCTTGATCAAAGCCTTGGATGACCATATACTACACCATGAGAAACAACTTGACCACCCGTGAGTCTAGAAAGGTCTTGCCAGCGTAGTATTTTGCTTGGAGCACTCTACTAAGAAGAGAGTTCGGATGGCTAACAAGTCTCCAAGATTGTCTACCCAAAATCGCATCATTGAAGACACTAAGGTCGTGGAAACCCAAGCCCCCAAGAAACTTGGGTGTATATAAATCGCTCCAACTCTTCCAGTGCACTTTCCATGAATTGTCATTGTTGCCCCACAAAAACCGAGCCATCATGCGGTGAATGTCATGAATAATTCCTACTAGCAATTTGTAAACACCCATAAGATATGTAGGAATTGATTGAATCACCGATTTGAGGAGAATTTCTTTTCCAGCTCTAGATAATAATTTTTCCTTCCAGTCATTCAATTTTTTCTAGATTCTATCAATAAGTGCCTCGAACACAATCCGCTTATACCTCCCGTAGGAATGCCTAAGTATTTCCCATGCTTGTCAACTCGCTTCATGGCTAGGACTCCTAACAACTCCTATTGTGTATCAACATTGACCCATTTGCTAAACGAAACCTCCGATTTTTCATAGTTAGTTTTCTGTCCGGAAGCTGCCATAGAAGAATTTATTATATAAAAGTAGTAGGAATTTTTGAATTTTTATTGTGCAAAGTCTCTAGTTTTATGAACCCTATATTTCCAAATTGGTAATTTAATGTCTAGAGGACGAAGTTAGGTTTTTTTTTTATTTTTTTTTTTATTTGAAATTCATAATTGTTTCACCATTAAATTTTCATAAAAAAACTCTAGGGTTTTCTAAGCTGTACCCCTAAGGTATTCGAGTTTCTAAGGTGTACCCATGCTTTTTCAAGTTTCTAAGTTGTGCCCCTCAACTCACTACCATTAATGAATGATGCCCTCCTTGGGACTTCCACGTCACCTAAAGTTAACTATAAATTTAATAGAAAGATGATAAAAGGTAAGGAAATGGTAGGAGAAAGAAATCTTAACCACCGCAACCATAATAATGAAAATTGAAGCCCCGAAATCACACTCTCAAATAACTTTTAAACAACTAATAAGGGTACATTTTATTATTGATAAGGAGTTGAAGGGCACAGCTTAGAAACTTAAAAAGGTATGGGTACACCTTAGAAACAAGAATACCTTAGGGGTGTAGCTTAGAAAAACCCAAAACTTTAATAACCCATAAAAAGAAAAGCATATAAAATATTTTAATTTAATTATCAGATTTATTTTGAGGATTTAGGCTTGAAAATATTTTTGCATTTTTACAAAAGTACAAGAATTGAGTTTTAACAAGAGGGTTTATATTACCCATTTAAAGGTCAAAGATTTAAATTGAACATTTTAGATTATTAAAGAGGTTTTAGAGTGTTAATATTTTGTTGAAAATTTGTAATTATAAGGGATTAATTATGTTTTTATATCTTTAATTATAGGTTACTCTAAAATAGAATGTTTTTAGTTAGTGTGACTAGTTTAATAAGACACTACAAAAGGAACATATGCGCCTAGGATTGATTTAATTAATTACGCATATTATCATGTTAGGAATTTTATATTGATATATCAATTATGTTATTAGTATCATGATAGCTTGTTGTGATATTTGATTAATTGATTTAATTTGGTAAACCCATATATATATATATATATATATATATATATATATATATATATGGGGGATGGATCCCATGAGAATAGGTCTTTATATGAGAAATCTATCATATATGAGAATACATCATGATTAGGGGATTTTGCTCCCACCAATTACCATCTGACAAGTGGACCAATCAGGTTCCGCCATGTGTCCGTCACATGGGCCAATAGGAGCCTGTCACGTGTCAAGCAATGATCCGTCCACCTTAGACCAATTACGACACGACACGTGTCCTTCCCATGACACCTGGGATAACCGGCCACCCAGGCCCAACTTCCGAGGGAAGCCCAATCAGCCCTAGGTTAACCTAAACCTAGGATTGACACGTTTCCCAAGGTTATAAATACCTCCCTTAATCCTCATTAAGGGGGAGGACGGAGATAACAGGCTGATCACGCTAACAAAGCAGATTACCTACATTAAACACTCTCACCTAGAGAGACCCAATCACTTTAATTTTCGCATTAATTACTCCTTAATCAAGTACTAACTTGACCGTTGGAGGCGGAGCTCCCACCACCAGGAGTCTCCGTTGTTTTGCAGGTACAGGCGTCCGGTTCCAGTCTCGGAATTGTAACTCTCCCGCAGG